GTCCTGGAACTCGCTCTGTAGACCAGGCTGGCCTCGAACTCACAGAGATCCACCTGCCTCTGCCTCCTGAGTGCTGGGATCAAAGGCATGCGCCCCACCCCCTCTTGATTCTGTTTATTTCATGTTAGCTGGCTGGACTGCCTCTCCCCTCACCTAGGAGAGCTGGGGTCACAGGTGAGTTACAGCTGTGGCTGGGGCGTTCTGTGTTGGTTCTAAGGACGGAACTCAGGTCGTCAGGCTTGTGTGGCAAGTGCTCTTACTTGCTGAGCCATCTTGCTGACATTCTTGTGTCATAGCCTACTTAAGGTTCTACACCTGCCTCAAGCTTCCCTGGAGACGTGTAATGCTTTAATTCATTTATTTTGATACTGGAACTAAATATGTATTGACCTTGTCAGAAACTAAAAGTATAGATCCATTTGTCATTTAATGGCTAAGGAGCAGTTTTTAAACTCTCCAGATCTTTGTGGACTGAGACTTGTTAAATCAAAAGTGGGTTTGCGGTGACATGACAGGAGGTGAGTGTGCCATTAAAGGAATGAGATTGGCATTCATCATGCTACTTTGTCGGATTGCCAGAACCATTTTACCTTGCCATGCTTTTCTGAATAATGCTAGTGGAGGTGGCATTTCTGCAGTGCCTTCCTGGGTCTAAACACACGTCCATCCAGTGTAGTGCTCCTAGAGTGTAGTAGACTCTGAGACTGAATGCAGCTGTACTATTTAATCCTTACATCAACACTTGGACATTGTTGGACTTCTGTTAGCTAATCTGTGATGATTTTGTAAAGGAAAAACAATAGGTTTGGTTGGCAAAGTGACATGCCTAATTCCTGTGGCAAGTAGCCCTGATAGGCAGAGTTACTCCCCACAGATATGTGCTGCAACCTAGGAGCATCAACCTATGAACATGCAGTGTCACATGGAACGTTGTTTTAAAGATATATTTTATGTGTGTGAGTGTTTTGTCTGCAGTGTATATGTTTGTACCATGTGAGTGCCTGGTATCTAAGGAGGCCAGAATAGGGTGTTGGATTTCCTGGAACTGGAGTTATAAATGGTTAAAAGCTGCTATGTAGGTGATGGGAATCAAACCTGGGTCCTCTGGAAGAGTAGCCAGTGCTCTTAGCCTCTGAGCCATCTCTCTAGTCCTGGAAGAAGGGATTTTGCTGGTATAATTAAGATGAGATATTGTACATTTATTTACTGTGTGGTATGCATGCATGCATGCACACACATGCATGTGTATTTGTATGGGTGTGTATGCCACAGCATGCGTGTGGAGGCCAGGGGATAACTTAAAGGAGTCGATTCTCTCCTTGCACTGTGTGGATTCTGGGAATTAAATTCAGATTGTCAAGGGTTGACAGCAAGCACCTTTACCCTCTGAGCCGTTTTGTTGGCCCCAGACTTTTTTTTTTTAAATTGGTGTACTTGAATAAAGCAAGTTATCCTTCATGATGTCAGTGTGCCATTGGCAGAAGGCTTTTGGACTCTCTGTCTTTGGCTCTTCCCTGGATCTCAGCCTGCTTGCCTACCTGTAGTTATTGAACTTTCTCTCTTAGGACGGTGTGAGCTGATTCCTTAAATCTCTGGAATACATGACTACAGTGTTTCTCTAAGAATTGCTACTGTATCAAGCAAGAAGTGTTTAGACTAGTGAGTAGAGGAGAGCTGAGAATGACAGTTGCATTTGGTGTTTGTTTTTGTTTTTGAAACAGTTTCTCTGTAGTTTTGGTGTCTGTCCTGGAACTCATTCTGTAGACCAGATTGGCCTCGAATTCCCAGAGATCCACCTGGCTCTGCCTCACGAGTGCTGGGATTAAAGGTGTATGCCATCGACTGGTGCATTTGAGATTTTTAAAAATGATTTTATTTACTTAATTAATTTTATGTACATTAATGTTTTGCCTGTGTGAGAGTATCAGACCCCTGGAACTGGATTTACAGGCTGTTGTGAGCTACATGTGGGTGCTGGGAATTGAACCCAGGTCCTCTGGAAAAGAAGCCAGTGCTCTTAACTGCTGAGCCATCTCTCCAACCCCGGGATATATATATATATATATATATATATATATATATATATATATATATCCCGATTTTTTTTTTCAAATTCTTGCTTTAACTACATTGCCCTCAAATGTATGACAGTCCTTCCCAGTCTCCCAAGTGTTGGGATTAAAGGCCTGTGTCCTCAAGGCTGAGAATGTGCTCTCTTCCTTTTAAGCCTGGGGATTGAACCTAGTGCGCTATGCATGCTAGTTGAGCGCACAGTTGAGCCCCATCCCAGCCCTTGGATATGTTCTCATGATAGAGACACCAACTTTATAGCAGACTCACTCAGAGACAGGATGTGACACAGGTCTCTGTCTGATCTATTGGAAGCTGTTGCCATCAAAAAGGAGGCTTTTGAAAGACCTGGTATGTGGGGGGTACCACACAGATTTGATTTGAGCAGGTAAACTTAGACTTGTCTCTTGGCTATAAATGTAGTGCATGTGGTTGAAAGAAGTCGGGATGGAGCTATATATTTTGGGGTAAGATTCTAAAGCCAGTGTGTCACGAATGCTCAGACTGTGGTACGGTAGGTCCTAGTGGGGAATGTAGAGGAAGAGAAGACTACAGCTTGATCTCAGTGTGTGGAGTTGAGAGAGGTTGGTAAGATGAGAGATTTGGGGGGCGGTGGAAGGGTCAAGGGAAGCCATGGCATGAAGCTGCCTGAGCAGAAGGGGCTCACTCAGTGCCCTGCTCATGCATCTCTTTGCACATTTTGGAGTTGTTTTATGTGTTGTTTCCCACAGAACAACTTACTGATTGTGGAAATTATCACTGGATTCCTACTATTTACTGCAGCTGCTGACATACAGTAGACACTCAAGTATTTGAATGAATGAAATGCCTCTTAGATCCTGGTTATCAAGTGACTACACTACGCCAGCTCTTTGTTCTGGACAGGAGAGTTGCCCCTATATGAAGAGGGGACATGACCCTCCAAGGTACGGTGGAAGGGAAGGCTTTTATTATAGATATGAGGGAGAGGACAGCCAGAGGCATCTGGAAGAGTCTAGAACAGGGAGGGAAAGTAGTAGACTAAACATGGCCAGCAGTTTGGACCAGGCCATGAGAGGAGAGAGGTGGGGGAGAGAGAGAGGAAGACAGAGAGAGCCAAGAGAGCATATGGCTGAAATGGCAGGGCTCTATGGAAATGAGAAGCTAGGGCAGGGGAAGCCATGATCTGGAGAAGTTTACGGTAGGTAGGGGCTGAGTGAGAAGAGCTGAGAAGAGTCACTGGTACTCAGCCTGGAGGCTAGCATGCACTTTGATATGCTAATAGGCACCACAGAGAGCTATTTGTCCCTTCTGACAGTGATGGGGAGTGGCTCCTGTGGTAGAGGGGAATGGGTGCCAGAATTGGAAGTAGAGTTTCATTTGTACCTAACAGCTTTCTGATTCACTCCTGCTTTGACTGACTCATAAGATATACCAAGCGGCTGATTTTCCTCAAGGATGTTTTTGAGGATGTGTAAGTGTGCAGTCAACTGAGAGTGAAAATGAGAATTGTCCTGGCAACTGTACCATATGTATTTCCAGAGCACGAGAGTGGCTACTGTTCACATACTACCATCCTGGAAGAAAGCATGTCTCTTGCTTGATCTGGCTTCTCCTGATTTTCTGTTATAGCACCTAGAGGAAAGTCTGGCATGAGGCCAATGCTCAGTTACTATTTATAGAATGAGCAGGTTCTCACATCAACGCTTGTACCTCAGGTTGAATGCATGAGTGACTTTCTGTGGCAATATTGCTGTTGGATACAATTTGAGTTCTTAATTGTGGCCTACAGAGCATCACTCCATCCAGTACTTGCCTGAACCTATCTACCTGATCAGTTACTGATGCTGTCTGGTTTTCTGTGCTGATGGCTCCAGCCCCACTGTTACCTGCAGCTTCTGCATTTGCTCTTCTGTGTGGATGGCTCTCTTTGCTCTCCTCTTGGGTTTTTTTTTCTTTCTCCAGTGGGCTCCTGTTACCAGGGCCTGTTCAAATGTCTGCTTCTTAGAGAAGTTCCAAATTTTCCATAGCTAAAGAACTCTTCCTCTGCCTTCCTTCTTTCTTAGTTTCTCTCATCAGTTTCAGTATTTTTTCCTTCTCCAAGCACTTCCTGGACTCCCAAGCTCTTATTGTGTTAACGACTGGCGTTGTCAGCCATCTTTGTACTCGTGTATGTTTCTAGCTTTACGCTCTCCCCATCCCAAGGGAACCCAGATGATTCTGAGATCCTGGCTTGTGTAACTGGGTGGGTAGGTAGTCCTGTCATCTACTGACATGGAGAATGCTAGTTGAAGAGCTCAAAGAACTGTGCTGTGTGTGTTAGATGCAGTTCTAGTGATGATGGATATTTGGCTTGTTCCTCTTTTGAATTTGTGAGCATCTGCGTAGGTCAGAGGCTAGTCAGTTCCCTCAGGTACCTTTGCTACTTTATTTGTGTGTGTGTGTGTGTGTGTGTGTGTTCATGTGTTCATGTGCATGCTGTGGTACATGTGTGGAGGTCAGAGTACAACTCGCAGGGGGAGTCAGTTCTTGTTCTACCTTGTAGGTTCCAGGGATCAAACTCGGGTTGTCAGGCTTGGCAGCAAGCCGCTTTCCCAGCTGAGCATCTCACTTGCCCTATTTTCATATTTGTTTATTTTTTTAAGACAGTTTCTTATTGGCTGGAGCTTGCCAAATAGGTTAGGCTAGCTGACTGGCTGTAAACTCAGGGATTCACCGGACTCTGTCTTTTTAGATTTGCTTTTAGAGCGTATGCTACCATGCTCAGCTGTTTTATGTGGATTCTGGGTTTCAAATTCAGGACCTCATGCTTGTATGGAAGTGCTTTACCAATGGAGCTTTATTTTCTGCACCCCGCCCCACCAGCTCCTTAAATTTTATCCCTTTAGGAAAGAAAGAAACCTGCTGAGACTTTGGTTTTGAGCATGTTGATTTTATGCTTCCTTTAAGCATCCAAGAGGATGTGTCAGATAGACAACTGTTAATTGCATTTGGACTGTGGAAAGTAGCTTGGGGTTGGGGTAGGACAGGCTGGGTGTGATTCCAGCTCTGCTAGTTACCTTGAGCTTGGCAAGGCACTGAACTTGTCTGTGCTGTTCACTCCTTTGTCAAGTGAGAATTACATCTCAGATGTACAAGGTTTGGATTAAATGAGAAGTTATGCACAGTACTCAGCATGTAGAATTATTTTAGCATTGCTAAACAGATTGGTCTGGCTAGTAATGACAACTTTTAAAGTCTGTTGTGTAAAGTACTGTACAGCTGTTTTTCTGTGGATGAACTTATTTTCTCTATTCTCTAGCTAAAAATTTTAGCTATTGTGCCCATATAATTTTTAATAAAATGTACCTGAAGCACCCCAGGAGTCCTAAGTACTTAATACACGCGCACACACATGCACACATGCGTGCACAGATTTAACCTTAATTCCGTCACCAAATTTAGGCATTGTAAACAGCATGAGGTATAAAACCCTGGATCTGTTAACTATGACTAGAAATCAGATTGTCGGCAGTTCCCAGGGGCTGCTATGAGGTTCTGTTGGATATGAGTCAGGACTCAGAGAGGGCATGAAGTTTTCTTTGTTTCCTTCCTTTTGGATCTGGCCAGAACCTAAGTACCTCTCCCCCTACTTGGGGCTTCTTGGCGCCCCTTTGTCGTGCAGCTGCTGGCCTGCCTCATGACTGACCTCCATCCTCTCTCCAAACTCCTACCTGTGACGTAGTGAACTTTTCTCAAAAACAGGGAAAGCACTGCTATGCTTTTAAATGGAAGATTGTTTTCACGATCATGGCCCCTTTCTCTTGTTTCTGTGGAGGGCGACTTGATGTAATGGATGTTGACTTCATTTCAGTATCGCATTATAAGGAGAAGTTCACATTAATCATTTATTCTACACATGGACTCTCTTAGAATAAAAGTCAAGGTTCATTAAGTTTCACAAAAAATATGTCAGACTTCATATTAAATTTCCCTAGTTCTGTGACATGTTTGAGGTATAAGAAAATATTTAAACATTTAGGCGACATTTTAGTTAAAAGCATACTAACCAACTAAAATATTGACTATTTAGAGTCGTTAAAAAGCAATGCTGCTAAAATAGGTTGGCAACCCAGGAATTTTAACTTCTGATCATGTAACAAGGTCAGAAACCTGGGGTCACATGACTGTTTGTTCTGGTTGATGCTCACAGCTCTGGCTCTAAGGTGACCATGGTGCTCCTTAACTCGATGGGTAATAGTATGGCAGGTTCCATACTCTGTGTGAGCATGATGGAAACCTGTTCTTGGCATTTCTGTCTACGTAACTTGAAATTGTGGGTATTTCATCTTTGTCTGGCCTCTCAGAGCTTTCACCTGGGAGCACAGGGGCCGGGGAACAGGTGATGTCAGAGTCCCCCAGGCCAGCGTGCTGACCCCCTCTGTCAGGACTGCTGAGGGAGTCTTTCAGAACTTGCTTGAAGATGTAGACTATTTCCCAGGGAAGTACATCATTTTCTGCCAAAAGTTCTCGAAATCTGAGGGGGATGCAGGGATGAATATTTAGAAATTTATCTTGTATTCCACCTCCCAAATGCAGTTTACATAATATAACTGTGTACTAGGCACTTACTTTGAGTAATCAGAAAAGCTTTGTAATTAAAGCTTCCAGTAAAGAAATTTTGATTGTAATTAAATTTTTACCAGTAAGCTGTCCAGAGGTACATAGGGTTTTTGCAGATAGGTATTTGGTACATAGGATTAAAGAGTTGGTGAAATGGGGCAGTTTCTAGCCTGAAGGAGGAGCAGCTCACACCACAAGACAAGAACATAGTGTGTGTGTTACCTGCTGAGGATGGTTCCGGTTTGACAGGGCTGCACTTGAGAGCACAGAACTTCCAGTTGTCTTTGTTCAGTAGCTGGGATGGTTGCATGAGGGTTCTGGTAGTTCCTCAGCCAGTTGTAATCCACGCCTGTTCTTTTCACTCTCTGTTCATTTTCGATCTCTTGTATTAATCTCTCACGCTCCTTCAGATGCCATTTTAACTCCCGAAGCAGAGTCTTGGTCACCCCGTCGGAGCCGGCACGCTGGGTTTGCTGGTAGGAATCCGTTTTGGGCCATTTCATCCAGCTGAAAAGTGGCATTTTTAGGCTGTGGAGATATTATGTTTACTTGCATAAAATTTTAATGGTTTTTAATGCGTGAATTTTTTTAATTTAATATTTCCAGAAAAATTCATGAATCTTTCACTGCTAGACATGCAGGTCAAAATAAGATTAGAACAGGGATTAAAGCTGTTCAATTTCTAACTAGGTCAGTGCTAAAACCCAAGGTTTGAAAATACTTAGATATAACTAAGCAGAAATTAAATAAAACCAAAGATAATAATGCAAACTGAACAGTTTCTGAAAATAACACTTGCTATTAGAAGCTCTTAGGAGGCTTTAGACTATCAATGTCTTAAAAAGTGCTGTCTACAAACACACGTCTGACTTACTCTTTGTGCAGAAAGCGTAAAGCTTACCTGATGAGTAGTCGATGTACTGTGGGAATGTTGCCAGAGAATTTGCTTTAACTGGAGTTGAAACTGCTTCACTCAGGCAGGTCTCATTCTCTTGGAGGTGTCCTCCGGTGAAGGAACGTGTCTCCTTATTTACCTACTGGAACTGTTTGAAACAAAGAACTTTCTATGTTAGGAATGAAGTTCTGTTGTCTTCATTTAGAGAGAATGTTTACTAATTCACCTTGTAACTAAGCTAAAAGAAATGTGTGTGTGTGTGTGTGTGTGTATATATATATATATATATTTATATATATATTTACATTCATATATATATCTTTCATCTTCACAAATTAGATAATTGTCTACCTTTTGAATGTAGCTTTTTTTGTTTGCAAAAGATGCCGGCAGCTATGGATGCTGGTCCCAAATGCATGCTGCAGAGTCTCTGGAAACGGAATGAAGAGCAGGCGTGTGAGGCACTACAGATGCTCTCCCAGCTGAGGTGAAGATTGTCGCATGATGTGCTGCTTTGCTGTGCATAGCCGTGGGTCACAGTTCCATGCTGTATTTTTATGCCTGTAGAGCTCTAAAAATAACCACACTGCTTTTATTCTTCAGCTTAACTTTCAGGCCATTTGGAAGCCAGGTCACTGTCCCTTCCAATGAAAGCAGGAAAAATAGATCCGACTTGACTATATGCAAGATACATACTGTGTGAAGCTTATTGTAACTGAGTGAAGTGGCCAGAGCATGCTGACATCAGTTGTGTGGGATGCTGAGCAAATGTTACATTCTACATTCATTTATTGCTTATAAAATAGCAAATCTGTGTGTTGATGTTGAAATGCTAGAAGACACTAAAGCACCTGGGTAGATAAATGTAGTGTATAATTGATAATCTCTGTGTTCATGGTAGTAAGCCTGGACTGAGTCTACCAGGTTGATCTCAGTCCGCGGGGGAGGCTTTGCCCTGGAGGAGATGGGAATGGGGGGTGGGCTGGGGGGAAGGTGAGGAGGGCGGGAGGGGGGAGAACAAGGGAATCCGTGGCTGATGTAGAACTGAATTGTATTGCAAAATAAAAAAAAAAAGACAGTGATGTGTTATCAGTGAAAGCAGAGATCTGAAAACACAAAGTTTAAAATAGAATTATACAGGGTAGGATGTGGCTTAGTGGGTAGAGTGCTTGGCTGGCATGTGTGAGCCCTGAGTTCCATCCCTAGCACCACATAAAATCAGGTGGTAGGATTACATGCCAGTAATCTCAGCTGGGGATATGGAGGAGGGAGGATCAGATCTTGAAGGCTACCCATGGCTGTATAGAGTTCAAGTCTCAGTTGCAGATGAAACATTGGCAGCCACTGCTTAGGTGAACACAGGTGTGCTGTGGGCTTTGTTGCACGTTTTTCTGTTTAGGTTCTTGTCTTGTGAAACAGTGGCTGAGTATGAAAGATCTTTGCTTCTTAGCTTTCTGTTAAGTGCTGACATTGTAGCTTTTCCTTTGATAATCTTTATTTCTTCTGTTGCTTTTCTTCCCAATGAACCAAGAATAATAGACATTGTTCACATCAGACCTGTGTGCCGTGTGTGATCAAGAGTGACATGTGTGGTCATGCTACAGTTCCTGTTATGTCTGGAAAAGGCCAGATGTCAGGATTCATTATCTTCAGTGAGCAGGCTTTCACATTCCATTGCCTGCACTGGCAGGAGAGGGAAAGGAGTGAAGTTTATGTGACAGATGTCCTTCCAAATTAAAAACTAACTGTACCAAATCATGCAACTTTTGCATTTGGAACTTTGTCATTATTTAAAAATTTCCTTCCTCTGAAGTGGTAGCAAAACTACAGCATATATTGGAAAGGAGAACAGCCTGATTCCCACTCGAGTCCTCTTCAGTCTGCGTCACTGCCCTGCCCAGCTTTCCCTGCTGACCCACTCAGTGCCCAGCACACCTGTCCTACACTGCAGTCTCCCTCTGCCCCTCAGTTTGGTTTGGTTTTTTGAGACAGGGTCTCACTATGTAGCCCTGGCTGTCCTGGAACTCACTGTGTAGACCAGGCTGGTGTCATTAGATGAGGGGATCAGGGAAGGACTTTCTAGTTGGGATAATTTTTTTTTTTCCAAGACAGGGTTTCTCTGTGTAGCTTTGGTGCCTGTCCTGGATCTTGCTCTGTAGACTATGCTAGCCTCGAACTCACAGAGATCCGCCTGGCTCTGCCTCCTGAGTGCTGGGATTAAAGGTGTGTGCCACCACCACCCAGCGTTGGGATAATTTAAAAATTTTATTTTGTTTGTTAACATTTATTTTTACTTTGTGTGCATTGGTGTCTCTTCTGCCTGTGTCAGGGTGTCGGATCCTGTGGAACTAGAGCTACAGACAGTTGTAAGCTGCCATGTGGGTGCTGGGAATTGAACCTGGGTCCTCTGGGAGAGCAGCCAGTGCTCTTAACCACCAAGCCATGTCTCTGCCCCGGGGGATAATTCTTTTGAATAGGGAATTTTTTGTTGATTCCTGAAGCAGGGTCTCATAGTAAAGCCTAGGCTGGCCTCAGACCCACTCTCCTTCTGCCTCAGCTCCTTAAGTGGGTTGCTGGCATAAGCCGCAGCACCCGCTCTTTGAGCAGAGACTGAAATGACCCGAGAGCACTCCTTGGGGGCCAGCTCTCTTCTCTCCGTGGCTTCCTGGGCATCTCTCCAGACATTGCTCATGTCTGACTTTCACAGAACTTGACTTAACCTCCTCAGGTCACCTTAAGTACTCTTTCCTTTGAACTTACTTGTACAAAACGTATTTCTAGTATTTAGTTTGTGCTATTTATATTATTTTAAGTTTAATTTTTCTCCTTTCTCATGAAATTGTTAAGATTGAAGCTGAGACCAAATACCACTCTCTGTACTATTTTTCCTACTACCATGTAGTTAGAGAACATATTTGTAGGCAAAATAAGGCAATTTCCTTTTAAAAATTATTTTTTTCTGTTTATCAGGGTAAAAACAGATTAGCATGAGAGTTTATCAACTATGTTGTAAGTTCATAAATGGGTCACTTCTAATGCATCAGAACCTTATTAAGCTATTTTGTATGGAAGACATGAAACAATTGGGCCATTTTCTGTTTAATGGTTGTCGTGTTTGTTTTTTCATTTTTATTTTATGTGGATGGACATTTACCTGCTTGTGTCTGTGCACATATGTGCAGTGCCTGCAGAGGTTAGAAGAGGGTGTCAGATCTCCTGGAACTGGAGTTATAGATGGTTGTGAGCCGCCACGTGGGTGCCGGGAGGGAGTCAAACTCTGGTCCTCTGGAAGCGCTGCCAGTGCTGCTAACTGCTGAGCTCTCTCTCCAGCTCCAGTTACCTTGTTTTTTCCTAGTCTGCATCTGATTAAATGGCTTACAGTCTTCAGTGACTTGAAATGGTGCCGTATTGTTCGCAGTTTGTATATCTGTACCAACTCTAATTTGCACGACAAAGTCTAGAGGGATGGAATCAGGGAACCTTGAGTGGCTGGCCAAGGAGCGAGGGATACCTTTGTCAGCATTACTGGTGAGGCCACTGGACATGTTTTTAACAGCATCAGGTTGCAATTACAGAAAGATTTGTTTTTCCTTGTGGGAAAGTTAATGTTCTTCTATTTTAATTCTTTTGCTGTGAAGCTAAAAAACAAATTGCATGAGGGCAGTCTGTGGTGGTGACTGCTCCATCCTGGATGTCCAGAAGATGCCAGGTGTGATATTGGACCTCTGTTGTTTGTGAGTGAATTGGTGAGCAGAGTATCAGTAACAGAAGAATGCTGGTAGCTTTCAAGCAAAAGTAGACAAATGCAGCTCCCATTCCATTAGTGTTTTCCAGAGAAGTGAGCAATGAATGGGATGATGACTATGAAGCTATCTTCCCTGTGATTATGGGGCCAGGAAGTCCCATGACATACTGCATTACATTAGGGAACCAGGTGTAATATAATTCACAGTTTGAAAGCTTGAGAACCTGAGGTGGTGGAGATGATGGGGTGAATGCTTGAGCCCAAATAATATAGAACCTGGTGCCTCAACTATCTGAAGTCAGGAAAAATGGTGTCCCGGGTCAGCAAATGAGAGAGACCCTCTATCTCCTTTGTCACTCTTAATTTGGGTAGGCTTTCAGTGGGACGGTGCCTTTCTGCCCACACTCAGAAGTGTGGGACTTCTTTACTCAGTCTGTTAGCTCAAATACTGTCTTCTGAAAACACCCTTGTGCAAGAGACAGCTGGAGATGTGTGTCCTCTTTGGCCATCTTATATCATGATGGCTTGGGAAAATTTTATTGTGGCATGAGTGTGTACAACTCAAAATTTGCCCTTTAGTCACACGGTTCATTGGCACGAGTTACATTCACAATGTTTTGTCCCCATGGACTCTGTTGCTCAGACTTTTTTTTTGTCATCTTTAATAGAAAGTCTGTAACCATTAAGCAATGACTCATTTCCTTCTTGCCCCAATCTCAGAGAATGTCTACCCTTTCTGTTTCAGTGAAATTGTCTGTCTAGATATTTCACATAAATGGAATCATGTAAGATTTATCCTATTGTGTTTGGCTTATTTCAATTAGGATAATGTTTTCAAACTTCATCATGTTGTAGTATATATCAGTACTTCATTCCTTTTTAGGGCTAAATAATATTTCACTATTTGTAAGACATTGCACACTCATCTTTTGATCGTCACTTGGGTTATTTTAATTTGCTGAGAGTTTTGACATGAAAATGGAGTTTCTGGGGGATTTCAGAACTAGAGGATTGCTCACTCAGAAGAAAGTTGTGTGACCTACCATTTCTATTAAAGGATATGCTCTAAGTTTCTCACACCAGCCTTTTGAGAAACTTAGATATTGGAGGGAAAGATCTGGATAAGGCAGTGTATTCTGGGATTTCTCAATCACCAACAGCCTCTCCACTATTAACTGCTAGATGAGAAGTTCTAAGAGAATCCAGCTGCTGTGTCCAGTCCCCAGTGCAGTGTTCCCCTGAAGAGAAGGAATAGACCCCTCTGCCTGTAGAGATGATCGTCTCCCAACCTAGCTGCTCTGCAAAGGGGATCGTTGTGTTGCAAGGACAGCTTGATCTGAGGAACAGGAGGGCCGCCGCCTGCACAGCTGAGGCTTTCTGCATGCCTTAAAGTCTCCCTGGTTCTCTGAGATAAACTGACTGAAGCATTTGACTTTGGGGTTTAGGTGATGGGTAAGCATGATGTCATAGTACGGCTTTATTTGATAGAAATGACACATATTGGCCAATTTCTCTGTCCAGGGAATCCCAGCTTCACATAATAAGCTTCTGGGGTGATGTGTGCATCTTGGGTGTCCTTCCCAGAGTTCTGGACTAAACACCAGCATACTGTTGTACTGTTAGGGCCTCTGCACCGAAGCCCACAGCCTTGCCCACAGATTTCTCTGGAGACAACTGCTCAGTGTCAGCAACAGAGATCCCATCCCTTGGTCCATCCCCATAGGCAGTGCTGAGGGCAGTGACCATCAGAGCTTTTACTGGCTTCCATGAGATGAGAGCGTTTTCAAAGTAAGCCTCCAGTAGATGAGGTTCATGGGAGTACTAGAGGACCAGAAATACTCCTCCAACTTACCCCTTCCTGTTGAAGTCCTTGCCTCCACTCAGCTGTTGAGCATTCTCCAGGTGCTTGGTGACATCTGC